CTGGGTATATCAGGGCAGTGTGCAACCATATCCAAGTAATTTTTTTTTTACTGGAGACGGGGTGTTGCCATTTTGGCCAGCGCCTGGTGGTTGAATCCTGGCCAAGTGATCCACCTTTCCTTGGCTTTGCAAAGGTAAGGCTACTGCACCTGGTGACCCGTGTGATTTTTTTTTTTTTTTTTTTTTTGGAGGACAGAGTGCTCGCTCTGTAGCCCAGGCATTTGAGTCTGCGATGAGTGGTGATCTTGGGCTCACTGCCAGCATCCGCCTTCCCGGTTTCGCACCTTTCTCCCTCAGCTTCCGAGTGAACTGGGACTGATCAGGTGCCCACACCACTGCCCCGGCTAATTTTTTTTGTATTTTTTAGTAGAAGTCGGGGTTTCACCAGTTGAGCACAGGAGGTGGATGTCACATCTTCCTGACCTGGTGATCCACCCGCGTTGGCCTCCCAAAGTGCATGCGATTACAAGTAGTGAGCCACCCACGTCTCAGCTGACCCAGTAGTTTTTTAAAGTTGAATTTTGAAATCTTGGAGAAATCTGGAAACACAATAAAAGATAGAAAAAGAGGACTGTTAAGAACCATCTTAAATGCATTATTATTTAGTCCAGAGAGAAGAAAACTCTTGCTCAATATGTATAGAAGTGCGTGAGAGGAATATACTCTCTATGTTAGAGTTGAATTAATCGTGTTTTGCTCAATGGAATATTTGGGTCCTATCTTCTGTATCTGTAGGCATAAGGATAAAAAAGAAACAAAAAAGAAAAAAAAAAAAAATGGATAAGGAGTTGAATTTAAATGATACAGTCCTGGTTCTATGGAGGTTGTCATATGTGGTGGGTTAATCCACTAGGGTAGATAACTCAGTGGCCTAAATTAGTCCGATGGCCATGTATTAGATTGTGATAAATAATTCCGAAAATACAAGTTGTGGCCGGGCTCGGTGGCTCACGCCCTGTAATTCCCACACTTGGGAGGGCGGGGCCAGGTGGATATCCTGATGTTGGAGTTGTTAAGACCAGGCTTGCGCCAACATGGATGAAACTCCATCTATACTAAAAATACAGAACATTTCCAGGCATGGTAGCCTTACACGCTGTTGCACCTGTAATCCCAGCCACTTGGGAGGCTGAGGCAGGGAGAATTACTCTGTAGGCAGAGGTTGCAGTGAGCCGAGATCGGACCCCTGCCCTCCAGCCTGGGCAACAGAGTGAGACTCTTTCTCTAAACAAATAAATAAATGAATAAATAAAATAAGAAAATACAAGTTGTATTTAGAATAAATTCTAAAATCCCTACGTAATATCTCTTGCTTACCTCTCCAGTCTCATCCTGTGTTTTTTCCTCCTTTTCTGTGTATTTAACTACACTGTCAGTCTTGACCCCCGTACTAGTTAGACTCCCTGTTCATAACTTCTGACAGTACTCCTGCCTCTCACAATGTTTATAAAAAGCTTATTGTATAAGTGGTTATTAAATGTCTGTCTTTTTGGCCAAGAATTGAGCCAGTGATGATCATGTTTTTTCTTCAACACTCAAAAAGTTTTTGAATAAATGACTAAATAATGTTAGGTATTACTCTCATTTTTTTTTTTTTTGACAAATAAGATTGTTTATATTGAAAGTATGCAATGTGATGATTTGATAAATGTACACATTGTGAAGTGATTACCACAATGAAGTGCTTTAGCACATACATCACCTATTATTGTTACCATTTTGTTTGTGTGGGATGAGAACACTTATGACTTACTCTCATAGCAAATTTCAAGTATATGATATAGTGCTATTAAATATAATTACCATGCCACACATTAACTCAGCAGAATGTATTCTTTTTAGAACTGAAAGCTTGTACCCTTTGACCAGCATTTCATTTCCTCCTGTCTATTCTGGCCCCTGGCAACTACCATTCTATTTTGTTTCTATGTGTTTGGCTTTTTTAGGTTCCACATGTAAGTGAGATCATACAGATTTGTCTTTCTGTGTCTGGCTTATTTCACTTAGTATAATGCCCTCCAGCCACATCTGTATTGTTGCAAATGGCAGGATTTTCCCCTTTAAAAAATTTTTTAAATTAAATTTTTATTAATTTTTATTTAAAAGAAATAGGAGGTCTCAATGCGTTGCCTAAACTGGTCTTGAACTCCTGGGCTCAAGTGATCCTCCCGCCTTGGCCTTCCAAAGTGCTGAGATTACGGATGTGAGCCACCACGCCTGGCCTGAGCCACTGTGCCTGGTCCCCTTTTTATTGTTGAATAATATTCCATTGTGTCTGTATCACATTTTTTAAATCAATTTATCCATTGATGGACAATTAGGTTGTTTCACTTCAGCCTGGATGACAGAGCAAGACTCTCTAAAAAAAAAAAAAAAAATTGAAAAATTAAAAAATGAAATGGAAAGTAGTCAGTATTGTTAAGTATGTGGATAAATTGGAGCCCTCATATATTGCTAGTGTAGCCACTGTGGAAAATTTCACTAGTTGTTTGAAAGGTTAAACATATAATTAACCATATGACCCAGTAATTCTGCCCCTAAGTATGTACCCAAGAGAATTAAAAACACAATATGTCTTTACAGAAACTTGAATATGAATGTCTGCAACAGCCAAAAAGTGATAGTAACCTAAAAGTTCATTAACTGTTGAATAGAGAAACAAAATGTGGTAAATCCATACAATGAAATTTAATTTAGCCATGTGGAGAAATGAAGTACTGATAAATGCTACAGCATGGATGGACCTTGTAAACATTATTCTTTGTGAAAGATGAAGGCAGATAAAAAGCCGTATGTTGTATGATTTCATTTTTACCAAATGTTCTGAGTATGTAAATCTAGAGAGACAAAAATTAGATTAGTGGTTGCTGTGACTGGAATGGTGATGATATATGTGTGTGTACTGCTACGAGCACAGAATTTCTTGTGATTAACATGAATGTTTCGGAATTAGTGGTGTGGTTGCACAACATGATGAATATGCTAAAAACCACCTTAATTGCATATTTTAAAATGGTTAGTTTTATGGTTAATTTATATCATTATTTAAAGAAGATTGTAAGAATTAAAAAAGAAATTAATAATTTGGCCTCAAGGTAACACTTTGGTGCAGATCCAAGATGCAGAGTCCTTTCTGGAGGCCAAGGCGCATCTCTAGTGCATGCTTCACCCGTGGTACCTGTTAGTTAGCTGTCATGGTCACTCCACATGGTGGCAGTATGTTGAATAGAAATGAATCCGAGTGGAAGATTTTGGCTCTGACCTTGCTATTTACGTTTTTGTCTTTAAACGGTGTTAGGAATGTTAAAATCGGAGATGAATTTTTTTAGAAGGAGAGACATTCTGGACCTGGTATGTCCCGTTCTGATTGAAATGTATGCACTGGCATCGCTATGGAGATCATTTTTGCCCGCGAATCTAATTGAGGAGCAGGATCAAACCTTTAGAACTGACTACTGTTGTACAGGATTTACAGGGGGAGCAGGGAGGGAACTTGTGTTACATTCAACAGCCGTAGTGGTGATACATTCAGGCAAAAATCCAGATTGTGAAAATCTAGGACAGGCTGGGTGTGATGGCTCATGCCTGTAATTCCAGCACTTTGGAAGGCTGAGGCAGTCAGATCACTTGAGGTCAGGAGTTTGAGACCAGCCTGGCCAACATGGTGAAACCCCGTCTCCATTAATAATCCAAAAATATTAGCTGGGCCTGCTGTCTCAGGCCTGTAATCTCAGCCACTCGGGAAACTGAGGCAGAAGAAACGTTTGAACCCAGGAGTTACAGGCTTCAGTGAACCGAGATCGTCCCACTGCACTTCATCCTGGGCAACAGAGTGAGACTCCGTCTCAGAAAAAAACAAAACAAAAAAAAAAGGAAGTCTAGGATAAATGATCCAATTTTTTTCAATAAACTGTAAAGAAAAACACCAGGGGAGGGGAAACTTTGTTACTTAAGAAATATATCAAATAGAATGTATAGACTTATTTCAAATCTTGATGCCAACAAATCACTGTAAAAACATATTTTTGAGATAATTGGGGGAAATTTTTGGAAATTAATGATATTAAGGGACTTTTATTAATTTTATAAGATATGATGGTGCCATTATAGTTACGCTTTTTAAAGGAGTCCTTATCTTTTATGAGGTACGTACTGAAATATTTGCAGTTGAAATAAATCTGGAGTGTGCTGAAAGATGAGTTAAACAGTTTTTTCAAAGGTGTTAAACAGCAAGAACAGCCTGTATTTGGGAAATTAAACATATACATTAATTCATGCAACAAACATCTTTTGAACTCTTACCTGAGGCATGTGAGTCAACTAGAGAATATTTTCATAGCAATAAATGAACTATTAACAGGTGATAATGGTAGAAATGATTGACCTAAGTGATAAGGGGAGCCATAGTGAAGAGCATGAGTTATGGTTAGAGATTTAGTTGGGCTTTTTCTGTAAGTAAAGTTTTTCTTTTTGAGATGGGAGTCTGGCTCTGTTGCCCGGGCTGGAGTGCAGTTGGTTGTGACCTTGATTCACTGCAACCTCCACCTCCCAGGTGCAACCCATCCTTCTAACTCAGCTTCCCAAGTAGCTGGGACTACAGGTGCATGCCACCATGCCCTGTTAATTTTTATATTTTTAGTAGAGATGGGGTTTTGTCATGTTGCCCAGGCTGGTCTTGAACTCCTGAGCTCAAGTGGTCCACCTTCCTTAGTCTCCCAAAGTGCTGAGATTACTGGCGTGAGCCACTGTGCCTGGCCAAAGTAAACTTTTATATGTAATATAACATTCATAAAGAACAGTGTCCAAAACTATAGGTATATAGTGCAAAAACTTCGTAAAAAGCTCGTAAAAAGGTTTTATACGATATACCTAGAATTTTGTGCACTGTGAATACCTTTGTGAAACTAGCACTCAGTTGAATTTTGAACAACATATTGCTTGAAGTAATGGATAAGGATTAGAGATGGGGATCATAAACAGACAAGGAATTAGAAATGCAAGAGCAACATATTCTTTTAAAATTCCAGGCTGATACCATCTTGGAGATTTGATACTTGAAAAACCATTTGTTTGTATTCTATTGGCGTATTAGGACAATTTAATAAGCAGACCATGGAATGTTTATATAGTGTGTGTGTATTTTCAATGTATTAATTCATCTCATTGATAGTTTTTTTGTTGTTGTTGTTATTCTGCTACAGCTTTTATTAGTTTTCAGGATTTATATCCTTGATTTTCACAAGGTCATTTCCAAAGTGGAACTGCAGTATTTTAGGAGGCTGTGACTCCTTTGATGTTTTAAGAACTATCTATTAGAAAAAGTTTGTTAACAATTGATTATCTTTAACAGTAAGACTGCAATCTAGCTGTGATTAGTGGATTTGCTAATAGCTATTACTGGAAGATAATCTATAAACTAGTTGCCATCATTATCCCTTTTTCCTGATGAGAAAATAGATACAAAAGAAACTTAAGTAACTTGTCCATGTTCACACAGTCATTTAGTGGCAGAGCTATGATTCAGAACAAAGCTTGATGGCTTTAGAATATTTAATTAACAGGGTTGTTGTAAAGATTCTTAGTTAATAAATATAAGCCACTTAAAGCAGTATTTGACTCCTTTTGTGTAGTAATTATTAGGTATCATTAATGTTATTATTGCCATTATCGTTATTTCAGGGACAGAAATCTCTTTCCCCATAAAGGAAGAAGTCCCACTTAAATCTTTTGATGGATAGATTACAATGAGGCTATGTGTTTTAAAACACATTAATTTGGGGGCTTTTTGAGATAGCAAATCTATCTTACTGTTTTGAGATGGCAAACCCCAAAATCCTCTTGGAAACAATTTCATGTACTTGAGTAGCTAAGGTTTACGTTTTCTACTGAGAATGTAAGATAAATGAATTTTAACTCCCCTAATTTCTGTTGTAACAGAATTTAAGCAGAATGGTGGGAAGCCTTATTTGTCTGTGATTACGGGGAGAGGAAACCACAGCCAGGGAGGAGTTGCTCGCATCAAACCAGCTGTCATTAAGTACCTCATAAGCCATAGCTTCAGGTGAGTGTAGATTTCTGTTATTGATAATGGCAACTGCCCATATAGAGCTATATCAGAGATTTCTGCGAGTATAGATTTCTGTTTTTGATAATAGCAGTAGCCCTCATATAGCTAGGTAAATAAACACTAATAGCATACTCAGAACAATCTGTTAAAATAGTTAACGAAATTTAATCATCTGATTTCAGCCACAGATTCATGCTTAAATTATGATATAACTTTCCCTGCTGGATTTATGTTGTCTGGTAAACCAGAAATAAGGAAAAATGTGTTTGTTGCCGATAATCATCTGATAAAACTTTCATAAATTTAAAGTTCTAAAAGAAAATATGTTTATTTGATAATATGCAAAATAATTAGGTAATATGTATCATATTTTAAGATTTGCTATTCTTCTTTAGAAAGGAAATAAGTATTTGTGGATTTTGGATGGAATTGGGTGGCTTCTATTGAAATATAGTTATAATTTAGGTACGTTTAAACTTTAGCAGAAATATTCCATTTAATATGAATGTATTTGTTTTCATAAGTTAAATGCCATTAATGACCTGTGTTGACAAACATGAAATGTTCTTTTTCATTAAGTGATAATTAATAACAGAAAATGACAAGAAAGTCAAAGATGAAAAATCTGTTGATGGATAGATTTCCTGCAGATGTGTATCATTAACTCCTACCCACCAATTTCACTGTAGCATATTTATTTTATGCCATGTAATAAGATGTTATTTGGCTACATTATTGAAAATGGTAGCATAAGTTATGAGCATAAAACAGGTGACACATCAGAGTTATTTTTATAAAAGGAGTAGTTAGACTGGAACATTATCATGTTGAGATTAATTATCTATTTTAGAGACTAGTCTTCCTTTAAATTCTTTATGGATAGAGCTGAAAGCATTGCATGGCCAGATTAATCAGAATTACCTGATATATCAGAGATTTCTTCTTGGTGCTTTCATGATGCACCAAAACTTTATTCTTCCTACAGCATACTCTTTTTCATGAAGGTAAAATTCAGGCCTCATGGGTTTTGACGAATCTTAAGTTATACTAACTACTAAGTCAGGAGCAACCCCCAGCTTTAAGATTGTATTTGTTTTGACCGTAGATAAAAGGAACATAAACCTAGATGTTGGTCTTGGATATTGACTTAATAAGGGTTAATACTTTGGTAGTAAATATTATATTAAGCATAGGTACTTGGAATTGATTACAAGGTATATTCCTTAGCTAATTTGAAATTTTCATCTTTAAAATAACTCTTTTCTCATTTCTGCAGGTTCTCTGAAATTAAACCAGGGTGCTTGAAAGTCATGCTAAAGTAAAATAGACGTCCTTGAATTAGAAGTATGAAGGTTTGTAGGTTAAAATTACTTTTATTTGCAGTAATTCAGTCAAGTCTACCCTAAAGGTGTGTTTTATTATAAATAATATTCAGTTGTGAAACAAAAAAATTGTTTTTGCAAAATCCAAGCGAGTTTAATTTGCTTTTTTACTGAATCAAATGCAAATGTTACCTGTTAAAAATATTACAGAGAAATTTTATTGATTACAAAATATCTAAGAAAATTATCAGCCACAGTTTTAAAGTTTAAAATGCTCTGATTGTTTCTCAGAAAAGGTTACCTTCGTATTAACTGTTGTGTGACATTTAGTAATGTCCTAAAAGTCTTCTGTGAGAGGTATTTAAAGTGCTTTGAGACATGATTCATGCCCCTCAAAGGGTGGTATTAAAAGAAGAAAAAGACATAGTAGTGGGTAGTAAAGAAAAAAAGGAGATCTAACAAAAACACTTGAATATTTTTTATTTTCAAAACTAAACACATAAAATGCTTTTATTTTGCCATATCCTACAGGAAAGAAGACATGCTTTTGCCCTTTTTTCTGCTTTGTATATGACCTTCATCTTTTACCTTTTGTTCTGTTCTTCTGTGTGCATTTTATAGGAAGAAAGTTGGGTCTGAGATTATATTGTAATTTCATACTTTCTATAGACAGAAAAGTTTTCAGAGAAAAAGAAATGATTAAATATCTTCCAGATGTTGCTGCCTTATCAAAATGCTTCTAGAACTGTCTGTATAAGTGGTATTTCAGACAGTACTAAATACTTATATTTTATTTTTGAGGCATGTAATTTTAAAACTGCCGTAGCTTAAAATTCTATTAAACAAATGTAGAAAATATTTTAGTTATAATTGGCCTGGTGCGGTGGCCCACGTCTGTAATCCCAGCACTTTGGGAGGCTGAGGTAGGTGGATCACCTGAGGTCAGGAGTTCGAGACCAGCCTGGCCAACATGGTGAAACCTAGTCTGTATTAAAAATACAAAAATTAGCTGGGTATGGTGGCATGTGCCTGTAATCCCAGCTATTTGGGAGGCTGAGGCAGGAGAATTGCTTGAACCTGGGAGGTGGAGGTTGCAGTGACCCGAGATCAAGATCACACCACTGCACTCAGCCTGGGTGACAGAGCAAGACTCCATCTCCAAAAAAAAAAAAAAAGAAAGAAAAAAAATATTTTGGTTATAATCATAAGAGGAATCCTTACAATTTAAAATATTTTCACTTTTGTTTTGAAAAAGAGCCAACTTTCTCAAAGGAAGCTTTCATTAACTTCTGTCGTTTGGTTAGCTAATAAATTCTGTTAGTATGCAAGTTAAACCTGTGTAAAGAAGGTTATAATATGGTAAAGTGTAATTTTCCAATATGAGACAATGGCTTAAATTTGTCTTTGGAGATGGAGAATATTTTCAACATATATAATTTTAACGAACAGTTTTGTTGCTTTTTGTTAAGCTTAAAAAAAGAAATTTAGATCAGGAATTATAGGATTGAGCTGGTACCAAAAGAATCCTGAAGTACAAAATGGTTTTCCGAAAGAGCAAACATTTCAATGAAAATAAAACCCCAAAACATTTTTTTATATATCATGATTGCATGCTTTTAAAATAAAGAGGCTTATCATTGAATTTTAGTTCCATAAAAATAAAAATACATGTTTATTATTTAGAAATGGTTAGTGACTGGTATTGAAGTATTGTTCACACTTACGTTTGTAATAATTTGTTTAAAGAGTGCCAACAGTTTAGCACACTTTTGTAGTCTCTAGAACAGTTCTATACATTAAAAATAAAGCAATTCCTTTAAACAACTTACTATAAAACTATAATTGTTAATGAAATAAGATATTCCTATGTGTAAATTAGTATGATTTAAAAGTATGAAAAACAATGTTAAAATGTGGAGTTACTGGAATGTGTGCAGCTGCATACTAACTCTGTGTTTTTATATTTCCTTACCTGGTTTTAAAAATCATCACTTTTGGGCACTTCAGCTAGACTTATTTCAATATTATAATTATGATTAATGAAGGAGCAGTCAAAAGAAGTAAAGGTGTGGTATTTGTGGGCAGAACTCAAATGAAAAAAGCTATATTGTTTACTTGTTTACTTTATCAATGTTAATATTATGCCTTATTTTGATAAATCATATATCTTAATCATTGTTGATAAGTATACAGGCAAAGTTTGAGCATCACGTATTTTTATGAAGCTGCTTAATTCCAAATTGCCTCCCACGCCACTATCTAGCATAGTTTAAGAAACACATAATTTTGAAAGAAAAGTTTATAATCCCTCCTTTCTTTTTTTTGCCCATTTCTAAATCCTGTATGCCCCAGGTAAATATAGTTTGGGGATTATAAAAGATTTCTCTATTACCCATTTCTAAATCCTGTATGTCAAAGATAGTTTGGAGATTATTAAAGTTTTCATGTATTGATGTAGGTTGAGTATCCCTAATGAGAAAATTCAAAATCTGAAATGCTTCAAAATCTGAAACTTTTTGAGCACAGATATGATGCTCAAAGGAAATACTCATGGAGCATTTTGGATTTTACATTTGTAGGTTAGCGATGATCAACAAGTAAATATAATGCACATGTTCTAAAATCTCCCCCCAAACCCCAGCAATCCAAAACACTTCTGGTCCTAAGCATTTTAAATAGGGGATACTCACTCAATCTGTATATTTGTGCCAATACATGACTCATTAGAATGATTCTTTGTAAACTTAGTATTTTAAAAGTACAGCACTTCTATAGTTTGGAAGGTTTCAGTAATAATTATATTCATTCAGTAGTCTCTTACCATTATCTCCCAGATGGAAAAAGAGAACTAATGTGGAAACCCCAGATGGTGTCCAGTTGGACCAGGGCGACATTAGACACTTAACAGTATTTTCAGTCTGTCTGTCTCGTTATTCCAATGAGCGAAATGGAAGTGTTTTTTTTTTTTACATTTATTGGCTCTTCATATTTCTCTACATTATTTATAAGTTGCAGTTTCTTCAGTTGGTTAGTATTTCCATACTGTTTGCAATTTTATGGCCTTTAAATATAGGACATATTATATAGTAGAAATTTTGACTTTAAAGCATCTTGAGTAGTATATTTTGAGAAGAAAAGCTATACTGCTCTTCTGGATGGTTTCCATCCTTTAGTTAGGTCTTTTCTTTTTGAATTCAAGTGTTTTGTATGCTTAGAAAGTGGACATGTATAATAGCGAGATTGGTTATTTCTGAGCTGGAAATTGGAAACTTTTGAAACTCAGGAAATTGCTCTGACAATGTTTTAACTGCTCTCAATTTAAGAAAATGACTAAATGTATAAGAAAGACAAAAACCACTTGTGCTGTTTTTTCCAAGTGCTTTTTCTAAGTGCTTTTGCATTGTGCAATGAGGTGAAGTTTGGTAATTTTTCTGTGAAGTAGTTAAATATTGCTAATTTTTATTTCAACGTAAAGAAAACAGATTTAAATGTTTATGTGGCCAAAAAGTGTCATTTAAAAGGTAAAGTAGTTTGTGTAGAATGTATGTACATGGTGCTTATTTTTAAAATGTGATTCAAGTTTACAGTATTACTTAATGCTTCTTTACAGAATTTAATAGAGAAACAAGGCTAGAACACATCTACAGCCTGAAGAGCCGTTTATAACTTCATATTATGTGATGACAAAGTTCATTATTTTCCTTAAAGTTGAGCAATTGACTTTTATGGTCCAATGATGAACTTATTATTAATAAATGATTGGATTAACTGTGAGGCTTCTCATTAAAATACAATATTGCAGCTATCAGTTGGAGAATATATTATAAAATTTTCAGACGGTATATCAGAAAAATGTTTTTATTTGTACTGTAAAGAAAATGTAATTTTGCTGTTAACTCTGTACTTTTTAAATTGAAAATGTTTTATAAATTTGCTTTTAAAATTTCTTATGAAGCCATTTGCAAATTACATACTTAATTTAATAAAATACTTTAGCCACAGTCCAGTGTGAGGAAATCTTTCATTTGATGTATTAGGGTTAGTGGTTTAACTATTTTAAAATAGTTTTATGTGTAACTTTGTAATTTCAGGGGGAAAGTGTCATAAAAATTTTATTTCTGTACCACAACTTTTCTTCTAGTTTAAACTATTTTCTGTAGCAAATAAGAGTCCACTTTTGAACCAGATAAATGGATTAGCTATGGTTTCTCTCCTCACACCCTGTATCTTTTGACTGACATCAAAATTAAAAATTATATCTCTTAGAGGCCGAGCGTGGTGGCTCATGCTTGTAATCCCAGCACTTTGGGAGGCTGAGACGGGTAGGTTGCTTGAGGTCAGGAGTTTGATGCCAGCCTGGCAAACATGGTGAAACTCTGTCTCTACAAAAAATACAAAAAATTAGCCAGGCATGGTGGTACACACCTGCAATCCCAGGCATGAGAATTGCTTGAGCCAGGGAGGTGGAGGTTGCAGTGAGCCGAGATTGTGCCACTGAACTCCAATCCAGCCTGGGCAACAGAGTGAGACCATCTCAAAAAAAAAAAAAAAAAGACTCTCTTAGAGACTCAAGTAATGCTTTAAATAATATTAATGACCTTTGGACTTAATATTTGAGTCCAAAGCAGAATAATTCACTCATTTCGCAAAGACTTAAAAACATTTATCTAACAAATATTTAGAGCACTTGTTACTGGGGTTACAGTGTAAATGCAATAGAGCTTTTATCCAGAGTTATAATTATTCTTATCAACTACTATGTGTATAGTGACTTATACTGTAGGATACTTTTGTATATGTTATATTTTAAATCTCAAGAGAATTTTATTACGTAGGTAGTGCTATCCCAATTTAATGAATAAAGCCACATAGAGAAGTTAACTGGTTTGCTGTTTAATGTCAGAGTTGTATAACTTGAACTTGCGTTCTCTGACTCCTAATATGGAGCAGCTGCATTTGTCCTCAGAGAGAGTAGTTACTTATAAAGAGATAATATTCTGCTGTTCTCTTCAGAGAGTTGTGGCTCCACAGTATATGTCTTTGAAAACCTGCCATTTGGCCGGGCGCGGTGGCTCAAGCCTGTAATCCCAGCACTTTGGGAGGCCGAGACAGGCGGATCACGAGGTCGGGAGATCGAAACCATCCTGGCAAACACAGTGAAACCCCGTCTCTACTAAAAAAATACAAAAAAAACTAGCCCGGTGAGGTGGCGGGCGCCTGTAGTCCCAGCTACTTGGGAGGCTGAGGCAGGAGAATGGCGTAAACCTGGGAGGCGGAGCTTGCAGTGAGCTGAGATCCGTCCACTGCACTCCAGCCTGGGTGACAGAGCGAGACTCCGTCTCAACAAAAAAACAAAAAAAAAAACCTGCCATTTATGAGTCTGCCTTCTTCCTTTATAAGAAAGGTGGTACTTTGGAAAAACCCAAAATACTAATGGCAAAAGGTAAAAGTTTCTTTCTTTCTTCCCATGAAATCCCAGAGATAAAAATTCCAGGACTGCTGGGAGTCTTCTTTTTCTTGATGCTTTTGGGAATCTAGGAAAGTTCACCATTCTGCCATACCCAAGATATTGGCCCTCATTTTCCTAGGCCAGGTTGGGTGGCCACATCTCGAACTCTCACATCTGTATTCTACTGGAGGAAAGACAAAGAAAAAGGGAGCAAAAGGCAAGTGCTAGTGATCTAAAGATGATTTTTGGAAGCTGCCATAGGAAACTTCTACTTACATCCTATTGGCCAGAACCTGGTCATGTCACATCTAGCTGCAAGGGAGGCTGGGAAGTTATCTATTTCAGACTGCCATGTTCTGCTGAAATTTGGTGTTCTCTTGGTGGAAAGAGAATGGATATTAGGAGAATGAATAGCAGTCTCTGCCACATCATTTTTTTTTAATCATTATATGCAAATAATGTGAAAATTA